GATCACGACCTGAGCCGAAGGCAGACGCCCAACTACTGAGCCACCCAGGCGCCCCTGAAGTTAAGATCTTCCTAATCAGTGTAGATTTGTTCCTCAAATGCTGAACTTTACACTTAACTATTATCCTTTGTAAAGGCTAAGAGGAGAGCCCCTACATAGCCATCTTGTCTCCCTGTGCATATGGCAGATCTAGGAAGGTTATTAGAAAGGAAAAAACTATCAAGAACCTACTACTCCATTCCGTCCCACTATGTTAGTTACTCTAAATAACAATCTTATTATCATCCCATTTTATGGATGACGAGACAGAGAGAGCTCATAGGGGTTAAAAACTTGCTTGAAGTCACATAGCTAAATAGGGCAGGGCACGGATTTCTACTCAGATTGACTGATTCCAAGTTCCAGGTTCTTTCAGCCATATTTCAATGCCCTCAAAGATGATTCCAACCCCAAATTCTTCAAGCTTTAAAGACACAACCCAAGTTGTCTTTTTCCAAGCAAAAATAAGGATAAATACAGCATGACCCCAACACTGTTAAGATTACAATTTGGCTCATTAGTGTTTTTACTTACTACCTTGAAAAGTAAAAAGTAAACAGCACTTTGCTTACCTTAACCTCTCCAGCCATTTTATCAATTGCAAATCCCTCAACTGATAGCTGAAAAAAAAAATAATGGTTTAAACAGTAAATGCAACTAAAAGAGGCTAGGAACAAAATTCCATTTTTCCTAAAAACGAATCATTCCATTCTCTCCCAACTTCAGAATATTCTAGAGGGTGCAGGATGGGTGATGGACAAGCCCTTTAATAAAGCTAATAACTATTTAAAGAAACTCTTCCTCCCTCCCTCCCTCTCTCTGTCTTTAGAAACTCTTAGAGAGCAAAGACCATAGTCTATAGGCCTAGTGAACCATGGATGTCTCTAAATAACATCCATGATAAATGAGGTACTCAAAATAAAAATCTTCACATACCTTTATTAGTCTGGATATTAAGAATCCTCCCTGGTATCGATTATAAAGTTCTTCCCAGTTGTCTTTTATAAACTTCCAAGCAGCCTTCCTTCCATGCTTGCTGCCTCCAGCCACTCCACCAATTACTGATACAGTGTCCTGTGGACGTACCTCTTCCTAAAAATAGAAAGAGAACTAAAAATCTACTGTATTCAAAACATCTTCTGGGGCAGGAATGGCAAATGCTTTTGAGGTACCCAAGTAATCACACTGAAGACCCTCATCCCTTGTTTTAGGAATAACTGGCACCAGAAGCTTCCAGCAAAGAGGAGACTGTTTAACCTAAAGATGAGCCAAATTGAGAATGAAGCATTGAGACAGGTACAAACAGGCTACTCAACAGATATTTGCTTGGGTTCCTACAGGGTAAAGAAAGGAAGAGACAGAAGATAGGTACAGGGATAAATAGGCTTTCCAGTTTATTTCTGCTTCCAACTATTCTGATTCTCACCATTAGAAAGAGATATATAGGTCAGTAGCAAAAGTCCACTCCATTTTCCCCAGACTAAGAGGAAGACTTAGTTTAGGGTTAAAGCAGATCAAGAGGATACTGAATCAAAGACACTTGCCCCAGATCAGTGGGTTACAATTCCCTCTATAAGCAGTTTTTGTTGTAACTTACTGAAAGTGCAAACGTGAGGACTTTTTGAATCAATTCAGGTGAAAGAGTAGCCCCAAGGACCCTTTCAATTCGGTTTTTCTCTTCCTGCATATCTGCTTGTTTGTGAAGCTACAGTGAAAAAATAAAGATAGAGATTAGTTAACTCTCCTAGAAGTTATGCATATGCTTGTGTGAGCTTCTCCCCCAAACTTTTGCTCTATATTCTCATTGGCTGAGATTGCAGGGTATGAAATTAACAAAAGAGAATACTTTTCAAGATGTTCAGGCACTACATTTATCATATGCCATTACAGTAAGTCATTAAATGTAAGTGTGTACTACGTGAATGGCTTTTATCAGTTCTGAGCAGTTTAACATCAAGATCTGACGGGTATGATGTCTGACTAATGTTCTATGTTAGATGAACAAACTAATCATCACGAATACCATTGAAGGTCATCAATTTAATTTCTTTTTTTTTTTTTTTAATATTTTATTTATTTATTTGAAGAGAGAAAGAGAGTGCAAGCACAAGCAGGGGGAGCGGCAGGACAGAGGGAGAGGAAGAAGCAGGCTCCCTGCTGAGCAGGGATCACGACGCGGGACTCGATCCCCAGGACCCTGGGATCATGACCTGAGCCGAAGGCAGACGCTTAACCGACTGAGACACCCAGGCGCCCCAATCAATTTAATTTCTAATAGTAAAAATAAATGTTAATATTAATTCATGAGTCTCTGATCAGTGGGATTCTGTACCATCACATTTTTCAACTGCAAAATCAGCACATGCCGAACACAGAAAATTAGGAAAATAGAGAAGCATAAAGAAAAAATTAGGGGCGCCTGGCTGGCTCAGATGGTTAAGCATCTGCCTTCGGCTCAGGTCATGATCCCAGGGTCCTGGGATCGAGCCCCGCATCAGGCTCCCTGCTCCGCGGGAAGCCTGCTTCTCCC